GGATCTTCATGGCTGGGTGCGGTGGCTCATGCCTGTAATCCCAGCACTTTGGAGGCCAAGGCGGGCGAGATCACAAGTGAGGAGTTTGTGGACCAGCCTGGCCAACATAGTGAAACCCCATCTCTACTAAAAATACAAAAATTAGCCAGGCTTGGTGGCAGTGCCTGTGTCCCAGCTACTCAGGAGGCTGAGGCAGGAGAACTGCTTGAACCCGGGAGGTGGAAGTTGTGGTGAGCCAAGATTGCACCACTGCACTCCAGCCCGGCAAGAGAATGAGACTCCGTCTCAAAAAAAAAAAAAAAAAAACAAAAAAAAAAAAAAAAAAACAACAACAAAAAGAAGGGATCTTCATGTTCCTGCCAATTTGCAAAAAAAAAAAAAAAAAAAAAATTGGTATGTTAACCAGAGGCAATGAAAAGCACCTCCCAGGCTGCTGTAGTAAGTGGATCGGTAACTGTGGTGGGAGATTCCAACCCACGAGACCTGTGACCATGCCACGCAGCAAAAGGGCTTTGCCACAGGCCTTAGAAGGAGTAATTTGGGCTATCCAGAAAGGTCCAGTCTAATCCCATGAGCCTCTAAGAGCATAGAACTGGCCAGGCGAGGTGGCTCACACCTGTAATCTCCGGACTTTGGGAGGCTAAGGCAGGCAGATCATGAGATCAAGAGATGGAGACCATCCTGGCTAAAATGGTGAAACCCCATCTCTACTAAAAATACAAAAATTAGTTGGGCATCGTGGTGGGCACCTGTAGTCCCAGCTACTCAGGAGGCTGAAGCAGAAGAATCACTTGAACCTGGGAGATAGAGGTTACAGTGAGCTGAGATCACGCCACTGCACTCCAGCCTGGGCAACAGTGCGAGACTCCATCTCAAAAAAATATTTTAAAATTGGGCATAGAACCTTCTCCGAGTGGAAGAAGAGAAATGCACACAGGGGAACTGGAGAGCCTGATCAGGTCCCTGGCCTACCTAGTCCTGAGCTGATGGGACCACGTGCAAAGACCAGATAGAGGCCTCAGGAGCTGAGGGCAGCCCCCAACAGATGGCCAGCAAGGGAACAGACACCTCAGTCCTGCAACCACAAGGAACTGTACTTCGCCAAAAGTGCTTGGAAACAATTCTCCAGTGAGGAATGCAGCCCAGCCAACATGGTGATTTTTGCCCAGTGACACCCACGTCAGACTTCTGCCCCACAGAACTGTGAGATGATACAATTTCAATTGCTGTAAGCCATGAAATTTGTGGAAATGTGGTAAAGCAGCAACAGAAATGAATACAGTGATTTACGTGGAAACCCCTAGAAGAGTGTCTGGCACGGTGTTGACACCTGACAAGTGTTTCCTGATTTCCTTACATCGCAAGGCAGGGCTGGCCACACTCCATCCAAAACAATAGATGATAATCTTGTTCTGACAAAACAGATTCAGTGAATTATAAATGGCCCAGAACACCTACAAATTTTAGGTTTCAGATAAGTGATTGCCTTTCCTTTCACTTAGAAACCTCCCTCTAAGTACCAGGCAGGAGACTAAACACCAGACAAACCCAGCCCCAGATGCCCCGAGGGAGCCCATCCCAGCACTCACTCCGCTGCACTGAAATGATGTCCAGGTCAGTTGATCCCACTAGACCAAGAACTCCAGCTCTCCATGTGAGTCACCAGTGCTGCGTCTGCATCTCTGCTTCTAGGATGCTGCTTCTGTACTTCACAGGAAATCTGTATCAACGTCTGTCAACACTATATATGACAGTGTCACTTAATATCTGCACAGAAAACAAATTCTTTGAGGACCAGGGCCGGGTTTATTAGCCTTTGTACTCCCACTGCCACTGTCTGGGACATCAGAGGCACTCAGTAGAAGTTGGTGAAGAGAAAGAAAAGGCAGAGGAGAGAGAGGAAAGCAGGACCAACACCGCAGACACAGATTCGGAGGTGGCTGGAGGAGAGGCAGGGCAGAGAAACTTCCTGGATGCTGGAATGGGGTTCACTGTGATACCTGCTGCTGGATTTCAAATGTCAAAGGTGACGCTTTGCTGACCTTGACTTCTGACTGCCCTTTAGTCTACCCAACATCAACACAGGGTACTTAGAAACTGCGAGGTCAAGAAATTATACTTCATTAAAGCATGGGAATGTTATTTACACGGACGTTCATTACTGCATTTTTTACATGGGAATGTAAATAATTGAAGAGATTGTTAAAGACTAAATCATGCACATGCATTAACTTTACAAAATATTAATGATAACTGAAACACAAATTTTGATGTTCCCCAAAAATGCTAAAATATAAAACAATACTGGCCAATTAAAGATAGAAAACAATCCTAATGAAGCTCCCCAACAGACACATTAAAACTTCTCTGTACATTAAACATTTGGGATTTCAAAGGAAAACCCAGATTCATTCCATTCTTAATAGGTGTTTAAAAAAAAAATCTTAGGTAATACAATATTTCATTTAAAATTTACAAAATTCCATTACATTCATGATTTCATTTGATCCTCAAAACAATCTCCTGAGTTAGGCAGAACAGGTATTACTAACAACTAACTCCATTTTACAGGTAAGGGAACTGAAGTTCAGAAAGTACTTGGACTTAACAAAAGCTTTAATAGGGCCACATATCGAAACCAAATCCTCTGCTCAAAAGAACTAGAATAAGTTATCTTTTACATATTATTCATACTTATATCCTGTCAATATCCAAAAATGTTTTGAGGTAGCCTGCAATAATAGACACCTATCCAATAAAAACATTAAAATGAAAAACAGGGGGGAAAAAACAGCAGGTGACATGGGAGACAGACGAAGGTAGATAGCAAAGACTGAGACTTATAATCTAAGAAAACTTCATCTCTGACCTTCCAGTTCCAGGGAGATAATCGCTAAAGGAAACAAGATGGTTTATAGACTCATAAACTGACAAAAGAGAGGTTGCATCAGTTCTTAACTCATGAAACACTCCTAGCAGCCACAGCAAATCTCTAGGACAACATACCAATGGCATCAAAGCAAGAGTATACTTCAGTGATAGAGTGAATTAAGTTCCCTGTATGGGACCCAGGCCAGGGCTAGAGAAAAGAACTCTGAAATGTAGAGCTCAGAAATACACCCTCTGTCGGTCACAGGCACAGTGGCTCACACCTGTAATCCCCAGCACTCTGGAAGGCCGAGGCGGGCAGATCACGAAGTCAGGAGATGGAGACCATCCTGCCTACCACAGTGAAATCCTGTTTCTACTAAAAATACAAAAAATTAGCTGGGCATGGTGGCAGACGCCTATAGTCCCAGCTGCTTGGGAGGCTGAGGTAGGAGAATGGAGTGAACCCAGGAGGCGGAGCTTGCAGTGAGCCGAGATCCTGCCACTGCACTCCAGCCTGGGCAACAGAGCAAAACTCCATCTCCAAAAAAACCCAAAAAAACAAAAAACAAACAAACAAACAAACAAACAAAAAAATATATATATATATATACCCTCTGTCTTCTCCATACCCATGTGTCCCCTTCCGTGAGAGACTTCCTTTCATTTAATCCATTTAAAAATCAAGCCTTTTCTAAATGAAAAATACCTCGACACAGAAGCAGCATTAACTAGTTAAGTTTCATTAAGACATTAATAAAATCTAGAAAACCATAAAGAAAATCTGGTCGTGTTTTGAAGCCTTCTCTTAAGATCAGATTCCCCAAAAGAACAAAGTGCATGGGGCATATAGCAAAGATCTTTTCCTAAATTAAGATAAGAATGCAAATCAAAATAAAGGCAAAATCCTACTGAGTGAAGCAAAAATTGTAATTCAGTAGCTCAAGACTTGACCAAATGGCTATTTTTAATCCCTATAATCATCCAAATAACTAGGAATAGCAGAGAAAATTGTGTCTCCTTTCTACAGAGACACATGGTTTTAAGAAACTCAAGCACATCAAATTCCCACCTTACCAAACAGATAAATTGGAAAGGAGCTTAGTATTTTATTTCTCAATTATTTATTTACCTTTTTATTTTTTAGAGAAAGGGTTTCACACCGTCACACAGACTGCAGTGCAGTGGCATGATTATAGCTCACTGCAACTTCTAATCTTGGGTTCAAGTGATCCTCGCACCTCAGCCTCCCAAAGCACTGGCATTACAGGTGTAAACCACAGCACCTGGCCTGACTATTTTAAACAATTAATTACCATATTCCTTAGAATTGTAGCTCCTTTATAGGTCATTCAACATGTGATGCAATTTTTTACAAGTGGTATTTTTCTTTTTTTTTTTTTTTGAGATGGAGTCTCACTCTGTCGCCCTGGAGTGCAGTGGTGCAATCTCGCTCACTGCAACCTCCACCTCCCAGGTTCAAGTGATTCTCCTGCCTCAGCCTCCCGAGTAGCTGAGACTACAGGCTGTGCCACCACACTCAGCTAATTTTTTGTTGTTTTAGTGGAGACGGGGTTTCACCGTGTTAGCCAGGATGGTCTCCATCTTCTAACCTCGTGATCTGCCTGCCTTGCCCTCCCAAAGTGTTGGGATTACAGGTGTGAGCCACCACACCCGGCCACAAGTGGTAATTTTCAACTATGCTTCAAACCATTACACAAAGCCAAGTACATCTACTCACGGCACTCTCAAATTTCCATTTACTCCCATTTTACTCAACAAAATAAAATGTTAAATTGGAACATATTTCACATGACACTTAAAAGATCAATGAAATGCTCCTGAAAATTTCTGAGCTCAACAACTCCATTAATGAGAAAAAAAAAACCCAACTGGATATAGGGAAGATGCTGCACATAAAACACAATTGTGAAGAATATGCAAGATACTGCCAAAAAGCTGCTTAAGGTTTCATCATAGATACTTGTCCTTAACTCTGAGATAAAGTATATACTAATGTAACTAAACTCGTTTAAAAGCAAACAAAGGGGAAGAACAAAAAGAACTTCCACTTTAGAATCCGCATTTTCAAAGGCCTCCATTATTTACACCATTGCGGGGAAGAGAATTTTTCTCTGCTATATTTGCTTGAAAGAATTAAAGGTGTAGGGCAAAAATTCTTGGAAATTATGTAGTTTACGATCCTCAAAAGTGAGAAAAATGAAGCCCAGAAGAGAAGGCCTTCTAGGAAAATTCCAGAGCCGGAGGTAGACCCAGTACATTGTTTTTGTTTTTGTTTTGAGAGGAAGTCTCACTCTATGGCCCAGGCTGGAGTGCAGTGGAGCCATTTCACTCACTGCAACCTCCGCCTCCTGGGTTCAAGCTGTTCTCCTGCCTCAGCCTCCTGAGTAGCTGCGATTACAGGTGCCCACCACCACGCCCAACTAATTTTTGTATTTTTAGTAGAGACAGGGTTTCACCATGTTGGTCAGGTTGGTCTCGAACTCCTGTCCTCAAGTGATCCGCCTGCCTACACCTCCCAAAGTCCTCGGATTACAGGCGTGAGCCACTGCACCCGGCCGACCTGGTAAGTTTTAATCAAGTACTCTGAACTATGCAACAAACACTAGGAAGTAATAGAAAAAAAATTAATCTAAAAACCCTCTGGAGAGTCAAAGAATTGCAGATTTAAAACAGTATGAATACTTGGATTCATGGTATTGAAAAAGGACCTCGCATTTACCAGCATGTACAAACTGCCTGCCCAACTCTATCAGAGCATTTTTCAAGCTGTGCTACAGTTGACTATGTACTGCCAAAGCTAATCTATCCCTGCGGATCATAAGCTCTTAAAGACCAGGACTTCAGGAGAACAAGCAAAACTTCAGAGAGAAGGGAGCCACCGAAACAGAGTTCATAGCAATGGGTCGGCAGGAGCTGATGACTGGAGTTGCGCGGTAGCCTTGGGGTCTGGGACAGCGGAGGGCAGAGAAGGCAAAAGGGCCTGCATGACACGCTACAGGGCTAGGAGCCACAGCTGCGGTGATTAGTTCAGTTTTGTCTGCTATACCTGTTACTTATACACCATCTCTTGTTCAGAAAGAACTTCAGGTTGAGTATTTGGACTCCTTGAGCCTTCTGCTGTTTGTCTCCGGGACGTTTAACACTCTTAAAAGGGGAAAACTGTCCAGTTCGATTTTCCTTCCTGGGGCTTTACAGGTTTTTCAAAAGTTTGATGAAAGCATTCACTAAGGAGTGATTCCACTTTCTTTGGTGGCTGAGAAATACGCGTCTGAGGGGCAGCATCAGGTCTTCCCATCAAGCTGAGGTCGGAGTCTCCCCACCCACGGACCTCACCCTCGCTCTCCCCTCATAAATCTGACCTCTAACTGTAACTGCCTTGGCCTCATTCCGCGGGTGTGGACGCTCCTGCTTGAAACGCATTTTCCAGCCCGCCAAATTCTTGGGAGAGTTTCTTCCACTCTCTAAGCGCTGAGAGTTACAAAGTTCAACCTGGCTTTCCAGATTTTTTTTTCTTCCCATTACTAACGGAAGAAATCAAGAAGCGCCGGGCAGAAGGGCCCTGCTCCCTCCAATAAGAGCCCAGCCCGGGGCCAGAGCAGGAAACGCGGCGGTGGGACGCGTGGTGACAGCCCCTCGCCCCCGGAGACCCTCCCCCCGCCAGGGCAGAGGTCGGTGCGGCAGCTGTGCGACAGCTCCGGGTCCGCGCCTCTCGCTTCCTCCCCCCGGCAAGTGAGAGGATAAATCATGGGGCGGGGTCAGTGCGCCCCCACCAACCGCGCCCCCCGCGCACGGACCCCCACTACACGCGCGTCCCAGGCGGGGTCAACCCAGACGAGCCATGGGGCGGCGCACAGCCCCACTAGCAGGGCGGCCAGGACCCACGCGCGCGAGTCCTCGCAGCCACCTATATAGGTGACAAAACACTCAGGAAGCCGTCATGCGGGGCCGGGAAAGAGCCCCCACCCAGAGTCAGGGACTCCCTCGTCCATGGGTCCGCGCAGTCCCCTCGGTGAGTCTGGCGAAGCAGTCTCGCTGCCAGGGAGGGCGGGGAGGGCGGCGGATTCTCCCACTCGCGGTGACCTGGACCCCGCCCCACGAGTGGGTCCTCGCAGGGCCGCCTCTGCCGCACGCGGGGACCAGCCACGCCGCGACGGACCGGGTAGAAGCCAGCGCCCGGGTCCATGCAGTGCCCTCCGCGGCAGACGCGGGGAGCCGGGGAGCAGTGGGAACCGGCCTTCAACCGCAGGGCGACCGGGACCCCCCGCGGGCCCACGAGGTACCGCAGCAGGCGCTAAGCCCCCGGTGCCACCCGAGGCCGAGACAAAGCCCAGGCGCAAGGGCTCCGGATCCCCACCTCGGACCCTGCGGAGCCCAGCTCGGAGCCGCCACGCCCGGGGCAGAGACCCCCGCCAGGTCCAGAGACCCTGTCGCCCATGGCGCCATCTCACCTCAGGCCGCCGCCTCGCAGCGCTCGCTCCTCGCCGCGGCGCCTGGGCTGACTGTAGCGCAGCTGAGCAGCCAACAGAGCCACGGCAGCCTCAACAATGGAGCCCCGGGGCGGGGCCGCCGCGGCCGCTTCAGCCCGTGTTCCCCGCTCAGGATCCGGCTTGGATCAAGGAGCTGCAGCTGGCGCGGGGCTGCGGCCGGGAAACACACAGCGCAGGTGCACACGGCCCCGCCCGCCTCCCGCCGCCCGCCTCCCGCCGCCCCGCCCCCAACGGAGCCGGGCGCCCAGGGCCCGCCCCCCGGCCAATGGGGAGCGAGCTGCGGGGAGAGGGCGGGGCCTGGGAGAACAAAGGGAGGTTGGGTGGGGCGGCGCTGGGACTGGGCGTGCGGGGTCCCGCGGGAGGACCGGACCCAAGAGCTGGCGGGATCCTGGCCTCCTAGAAGACCCAGCTCAACGTCCACCTGGAGTCTGCCCTACAGGACGCGCTCATCTCAAGCCCAGAACTCAGGTTTTTAGGGCAGAAAGCGAGAGACAGGCTTGCTTTACAAAAAGGGAAACTGAGGTCCAAGGAATAGGATTGCCTGCTGCCCGAAGTCATGTAGTCCCATTCACTCGTTCACCTTGTCATTCAGCAAACATTTGGAAGCACGTATGGTGGGTGTTAGGAGTGAAGTAGGGCCAGGCGCAGTGGCTCGCGCCTGTAATCCCAGCACTTTGTGGGGCCGAGGCAGGTGGATCACTTGAGGCCAGGAGTTCGAAACCAGCCTGGCCAAAAAGATGAAACCCCATCTCTGCTAAAAATACAAAAACTTAGCCGATCGTGGTGGCGTGTCCCTATGGTCCCAGCTACTGGGAAGGCTGAGGCAGGAGAATCGTTTGAACCCGGGAGGTGGAGGTTGCAGTGAGCTCAGATGGTGCCACTGGATGCGCTCCAGCCTGGGCGACAGAGTGAGACTCTGTCTCCAAAAAAAAAAATTAGTAGATGGGAAGTAGAAGCGAACTTAGGCCTTCCGTGAAGGAGCTCGGCCAAGGAGTACCTGAAATGTCTCTGCATCTCTTTAAGGTCTGATAAAGGAACCAGGAGTGAGCGCTAAGCACCTCCCTTTCCTACCTCAAAGCTTTCATGTGTTTGCTGTTCCCCGCCTGAAATGCCAAGTACCAACAGTATTTATTTATTTATAGAAATGGGGTCTCCCTATGTTGCCCAGGGTGGTCTCAAACTCCTGGCCTCAAGCTATCCTCTCGTCTCAGCCTCCCAAAGTGTTGGGATTACAGGCATGAACCACTGTCCCCAGCCCTGATCGTCTTTAAAACGTCTTTCCTCATCTTATTTGAGTTTCCTGCTTCATGTGACCCCACACCCTTGGTTTCCCTGTACTTCCATAGGTGCTCCTCGGTGGGTCCTGGGGACCCACCCCCTTCTCTGCCCAACTTGTATGTGTCTGAGCTCAGGCCAAATGCCCTTCCATTTGCAGTGGGCACTGCCACAGGAAATCTCATGCCCTTCCGGGCTTCACAAACCATCCACATGCTCTGCCGCTTGCCAGAGACATCCATCCCAGTCAGATGCCCAGCGAAACAAAATAACAGAGGGGACAGAAGAACCCACAAGGGCAGCTCAAGACCTTTCTCTGAAGAGTGAGGACATGTGAAAGCGAGGAAGGCTCCCGGTATCTACAGAGAGAGGGGGAAAAACGAGGGAGCTGTAGGAGGCTGGAGCCTCCAACATACGTATTTCCAGTATACCGTGAAAGAGCATACATGGAAAGAGAGAGTGGCCCAATACGTGGCTGGACCGCATGATGGTGATCGGGACATGCGTGACAGGGCCTGGCAGAAAATAGGACAGGCAAAGATTTGCTAGTGCGAAGAAGAGACGAACCGGTCGCTAGCTGAAAGCACCTGGCGTGGGGAAAATGTCCTCTCTGAGATATATAGAAGAGAAACGGAACTATAGAGAATTAATCATCAATGGCAGACTGGCGGAAAAGTTGGAGAGTCTCCGGCGGCCCCAGCATCACCTCCCATGGATGAGCACTTATTGGAGGCATCTGAGAAGACCCATTCTCAGGATTACTCTGCGAGGAAAGTTACAGGCAAAGCACGTGAAGTCCGAGCCACTGAGCAGAATCTCATTGGTCCTGGCACTGAAACTTGAGAATTGGAGCCGAATGGCACCAAGCTAGATAGTGTGTAGGAACTGGAATGGGCAGGAGCTAGATAGAAGGTCAAACCGAACAGAGAAGTATACTGATCTTGTGCTTGGGACTGATGACACCGGAAG